TAAGGCTGATGTGGCTTCCTCACTAAATATTATATTTATTTTAAACTAAAAATACCTTCGTAGAGATCACTTTGGTCGTTTTGGAAGTTTCTGTGGGAGCAGCGAAGATGGTAGCACCAAGCTGTGGATGAATGGCAGAGAAAGACCTTACATGTACATCAAAAGCGACTTTTAAAGGTCGTAGATGGTCAAAATAAAGGGAGAGGAAGGAAGAAGAAGAGGGAAAGAAAAAGAAAGACGTAGCGGAGGGAAAAAAGGTGGAGGGGCGAGGAGGGGAGACGGATAAGATAAATATATTTGTCAAACGAAGGGGAAAAAATAAAGCTTGTTGCCACAGTCATCACTTTTCAAAACTCCCTGACTTTTCCGTTATTATTCCGTGATAAAAATCAATTTTCCCCTAACGAAAAAAATACAAAAAATAAGATCTAGTAGCAGCTCCTAGCTTCAACTTACAGTCGTCCTTTCCACTCGTTCGTTAAGACTGATAAGTTTTCAACAAATTTTCCCGCTTCATGAGGAAAAATATCGTTGAGATCACATTGACCCCGAATGTCTCCTCCAGTCTTCAGGGGTATCAAATCAGCCGTGTTAAATTATTTCATTTTTTCCCTGACTTTTCTTGAAAATGTCATTGTTGCCTGACTCAAAATAAAATTCCCTAACGTTTCCCCGGCCTTGAAGAATTTTTTCCTCTGACCATTTCCTGACCTGTGTCAACCCTGTCAAAGAAATGAGATGAGGGGGACGAGTACAGGGGGAGAGGAGAGAGAAGGAGAAGACGAAGGGGAGAAGAAAGCGGAGGCGGCGGCTGTGGGAGAGGATAAGGAGAAGGCGGAGGACGGAAACATCTCAAACGTCTGTTTTCTTGAGCTCTAGAGTTTAAACACAGCGGTTAGACGCTTGTTTATTAAACTGCCTCATCTGTCTTACCGTTATAGTTCTCCAGCCCCTGTCACCTCTGATGTACAGCAGCTGATCCGAGATAACGAACGCCAGAGTGCCTTGTTTCACTTTCTCTAAACCCCGTATCAGAGTTTGTTGTGTTTCGAATATCAGTACCTGCAAAAAGGTCCACACAAAATAAAACAGAAAATATGAAAAAGAAAAAAAAGCAACAAACAAATTAAGAAAATGCCATGAGTTTGTCTTGCGCAAGGTCAACAATATTTAGAAAGTCTAAACGCGCGCAGATATGGGTAATTGTTTTCTTTTCTAATTCAGCTAAAAATTCAGTTGAGTATTATGGGTCTTTTGCCGACAGGCAAGGTATTTGGACCTGCACTAAGAAGTTGTCGCATTAATGAAAGTCAAACGCGAGT